TAGTTAGTAGTTAGTTAGTTAGTTAGTTAGTTAGTTAGTTAGTTAGTTAGTTAGTTAGTTAGTTAGTAGTTAGTTAGTTCGTTAGTTAGTTAGTTAGTTAGTTAGTTAGTTAGTTAGTAGTTAGTTAGTTAGTTAGTTAGTTAGTTAGTTAGTTAGTTAGTTAGTTAGTTAGTTAGTTAGTTAGTTAGTTAGTTAGTTAGTTAGTTAGTTAGTTAGTTAGTTAGTTAGTAGTTAGTTAGTTAGTTAGTTAGTTAGTTAGTTAGTTAGTTAGTTAGTTAGTTAGTTAGTTAGTTAGTTAGTTAGTTAGTTAGTTAGTTAGTTAGTCGTTAGTTAGTTAGTTAGTTAGTAGTTAGTTAGTTAGTTAGTTAGTTAGTTAGTAGTAGTTAGTTAGTTAGTCGTTAGTTAGTAGTAGTAGTTAGTTAGTTAGTAGTTAGTTAGTTAGTTAGTTAGTAGTTAGTTAGTTAGTTAGTTAGTAGTTAGTTAGTTAGTTAGTTAGTTAGTTAGTTAGTTAGTTAGTTAGTTAGTTAGTTAGTTAGTTAGTTAGTTAGTTAGTTAGTTAGTTAGTTAGTTAGTTAGTTAGTTAGTTAGTTAGTTAGTTAGTTACTTATTTTATGATGATTTCCATGTGAATCTGTAGAAATATTTTGTTGGACAAGGTCTTCAAAAAATTACAAAATAATAAATATTACAAATACACTTTATAAACTTCAGTGTTTGGTATTATAGTGTCTGAGATACGAGTTAACCCATATTCTTGAACATACATATTCAAAACGTTTGTAACCGATGAACCGATTTTTCAGATATTTAATAGCAAACTTTTTGAAAGCACATCTACTTAAAATATTCAATATTACAATTCAGAAGGTATCTGGGACTTTCAGAAAAATGATTTCAGTATGCAGTATCTTAGGATAGACTGACAGATATCAATAGAACGACTTCTTTACACTCAAAAATAGAATGGAGTAATCTATAATCGAATTAAAGTTTCAGGAAATTTTGAAAATAATAAACATTAATCTAGAAATCGATTTTTCTTTCAGTGCAAGGATTTAGCATATAATCATTGATAAGCTTTAAGCTTCATTTAAAAATTAAGATGTTAATTCTCTTAAAAATCTCAAAAGTACTTATACACCTCTTATACTAAGGTATTTTTTCAAGTGTAGTTAAATAAATATTATTTTTCAAACCATTTGAACAACAAAATTTTGTGTAAACAAATATCTTATGCAATCCTATGTTTATTTATCAGGAAGTACTGTCTGTCTATCTGGCTATATTTATAAACAATTTATATTTATAGTTTAATTGTTGTTTTTGTCTTAAGTACAAAAGTAAACAATAATATCGGCAGCAACTACAATAATCGTCTGTCCCCACCTGTTATTGTTTTTCAAATATTTTCGATTTTAAATTCTATAATTTACATTCTGCACAGTACAAAAAAATGAATAAATATTAAAGAAAATATGTAAATAAATAAATTAATTAAATAAATATGCAAATATTATAATAATTACTACAACAAGTAGTCATATGAATAGTTAAATATATAAAAAAATTAAATTTATTATGAACCGTAAATACTAAAAGCAAAAAATAACAAATGATTCATAATGAATCAAACTTCTTGGGGTACGTGTACCTCTTTAAGTTGGTAGTCAGTTAAGTACTTTCAAATTTATTCACCATTTTATTTTCGGTCTGCAGACAAAGTCTAATTATTTTCTATTGGTATCAATACCCCTTTTGTGTCTGATAACGTTTTTTTTTTTGTTATTCTAAAAATTTATATTATCTATTACTATAATTTTGTAGAAAAATATAATCATTGCTATTTCTTTCTTTTTCAAACAATAGATAAAAATCATCATGGTTGTGGCTAATTTGTTTTCTTTAAAAATTTATAATATTTTTAAGTGGTTTCCAAAAATGTTCTTTCTTTCTTCTGAAATACAAATTCTAATTTATTTGTTTAAAATCAAGCAGGAAACATTAATAGCTTCTTGGTAAATAATGAATGGTACTTTCCAAATTATCAATGTCTGTTTATTTTTAAGAAAGCTTCTACATTTGTATATTATTGATTAGAAATAACTTTTTTGAAGCGTATTTTTTTTGAATTTTAAACAATAAAATGCATTTGTAAGAAAAAATTAGGTACACATTATGTTTTGTGACTCCTGTTAGTTAATTATTGTGAAAGCAGGATGTACATATATACATCAAATCCGAAGAAATACAGCTAGGCCTCTATCGGCCTGCTGTGCACTCCTTAGTGCCTCAGGTAGGAATCGAACCTCCGGTCTACCAGACTAGTACACTAACTGCAAACCTAGCGGAGGCCAATAGTTAGTTACTACACATTAAGTTTTGTAATTTCTATAAGTTAGTTAGTTAGTTAGTTAGTCAGTTAGTCAGTTAGTCAGTAGTCAGTTAGTCAGTTAGTCAGTTAGTCAGTTAGTTAGTTAGTCAGTTAGCTAGTTAGTTAGTTAGTTAGTTAATTAGTTTGTTAGTTAGTTAGTTAGTTTGTTTGTTTGTTTGTTAGTTAGTAGTTCGTTAGTTAGTTAGTTAGTTAGTTAGTTAGTTAGTTAGTTAGTTAGTAGTTAGTTAGTTAGTTAGTTAGTTAGTTAGTTAGTTAGTTAGTTAGTTAGTTAGTTAGTTAGTTAGTTAGTTAGTTAGTTAGTTAGTAGTAGTTAGTTAGTTAGTAGTTAGTTAGTTAGTTAGTTAGTTAGTTAGTTAGTTAGTTAGTTAGTTAGTTAGTTAGTTAGGTTAGTTAGTTAGTTAGTAGTTAGTTAGTTAGTTAGTTAGTTAGTTAGTTAGTAGTTAGTTAGTTAGTAGTTAGTAGTTAGTTAGTTAGTTAGTTAGTTAGTTAGTTAGTTAGTTAGTTAGTTAGTTAGTTAGTTAGTTAGTTAGTAGTTAGTTAGTTAGTTAGTTAGTTAGTTAGTTAGTTAGTTAGTTAGTTAGTAGTTAGTTAGTTAGTTAGTTAGTTAGTTAGTTAGTTAGTAGTTAGTTAGTTAGTTAGTAGTTAGTTAGTTAGTTAGTTAGTTAGTTAGTTAGTTAGTTAGTTAGTTAGTTAGTTAGTTAGTTAGTTAGTTAGTTAGTTAGTTAGTTAGTTAGTTAGTTAGTTAGTTAGTTAGTTAGTTAGTTAGTTAGTAGTTAGTTAGTTAGTTAGTTAGTTAGTTAGTTAGTTAGTTAGTTAGTTAGTTAGTTAGTTAGTTAGTTAGTTAGTTAGTTAGTTAGTAGTTAGTTAGTTAGTTAGTTAGTTAGTAGTTAGTTAGTTAGTTAGTAGTTAGTTAGTTAGTAGTTAGTTAGTTAGTTAGTTAGTTAGTTAGTTAGTTAGTTAGTAGTTAGTTAGTTAGTTAGTTAGTTAGTTAGTAGTTAGTTAGTTAGTTAGTTAGTTAGTTAGTTAGTTAGTAGTTAGTTAGTTAGTTAGTTAGTTAGTTAGTTCGTTAGTTAGTTAGTTAGTTAGTTAGTTAGTTAGTTATGTAGTTAGTTAGTTAGTTATGTTAGTTAGTTAGTTGTTAGTTAGTTAGTTAGTTTAGTTAGTTAGTTAGTTAGTTAGTTAGTTAGTTAGTTAGTTAGGTTAGTTAGTTAGTTAGTTAGTTAGTTAGTTAGTTAGTTAGTCTAGTTAGTTAGTTAGTTAGTTAGTTAGTTAGTTAGTTAGTTAGTAGTTAGTTAGTTAGTTAGTTAGTTAGTTAGTTAGGTTAGTAGTTAGTTAGTTAGTTAGTTAGTTAGTTAGTTAGTTAGTTAGTTAGTTAGTTAGTTAGTTAGTTTAGTTAGTTAGTTAGTTAGTTAGTTAGTTAGTTAGTTAGTTAGTTAGTTAGTTAGTTAGTTAGTTAGTTAGTTAGTTAGTTAGTTAGTTAGTTAGTTAGTTAGTTAGTTAGTTAGTTTCCTCGTTCACCTCGTTCTCATCATCTCTATGATCTCCTAGTCATCGATATTCAGCTTTTGAAAAACATTTCACATTTATCCACGTTTTATAAGTGAATACCCCTAATGAATCTTACTTTCTGAATTAAGAACATCACTGTACAACAAATTGTCTTCACACAAACTGGCACTCATGCGAAGCAATTTCATTCATAACAACTTCAGCTAAAAGAAAATCAACACAAGTGGCAAGTGAAATGAAAAGTGAAAAAGCAAAAAGCTGGAAAACAAAACAAAAACACTTGGTTTCCCCCAATGAATGAAGGAATAAACGAAAAACTGACCAACACATTTTTACACATTCGTGGCGGTGTTTCACTTAGTGTTTATTTAATAACGAAGGTCTAGAGTAAAATTTTGTAATATTGTGTTTTTCGGGCCAAGTTAACACGTAAAGTGAATTTTCTTTTACTTAATAAACCATAAACTATCTGTTAGATATATAAACACACACACGCACACATCTAACTTAGCTAGACTTGGGTAAGAAAATTGTTGCTTGTTGTTTTTGCTAAAGCTTTGCTGGTAGGTAGATATCAAGTGTATAAGCCAAGTTTGTGTTAAAGCTAAGGCTTTAAACATTAAGCTTAAGCCATACAAATACAAATAAAATACAAAAACAATAAAGAAAAACAAAAACAGCATAATTTTTTTTGCTTTTGTTTTTTTAAATTGTTTTTGCTGGTTTTTTGTATTTAGAGTCAAGAAGGCTTTTCGTGGTATCTTAACGTTCACAAAAGTTGCTTACGCTCATGAGAGCGGACGTGTAAACGCGGTTAAAAACCAAAAAAAAAACGTTTTCTTCTATTAACTGTTTTTTTCAATTACTTACGTTTTCCTTCTACTTAAACTTACAAAATTCCAAAAAATAAAAATACAAAGTAATAAAAAAATATATACGTTACAGTTAAAACAAAATTTGGCAATAATTTTGGTGGTTAAATAAAACAAAAACAAAAGCAAAATTGTTAAAAAAATACAAAAATCAATTAAAAATATTTATAAAAAAATTTAAAAAAAAAAATCAAATAAAAAGAGTTTTTAAAATATTTTTAAAAAGTAAAGTTTAACAAAAATAAATTTAAAAATGCTGGAAGAAAATAACAATGGTCATGTCGCTAATGGTCATTTACCAAATTCAAAGGTGCCTACGACCACCACAACAACAACAACATCAGCCGAAGCTGATATGGCTCAGTCAACTTTGGTAACAAAGTTTATGACTTGGATTGATCCATTTGTTGATTTCTCGTGGTTTATCATTTGCTCCATTGGTTTCATATTTCAGGTGGGTGGATTTATTTCTTTCTCTCTTTTTTTTTGTATTTCTATTATTTCTTGTTTTTATAAGATTTTATATGTTAAGGTTGGAATTTCATCAAATGCAATAAAAAAAAATAAATAATTTAAACATTTATAATTTTATTAACAAGTCTTGCTGTTAGCTTGTGTTTATTGTAAGTTTTTTTAATTTCTTTTGCTTTTAAAAATGTGTTTATCTTTTTTTGTTTTAATTCGTTTAAAGTTTTAACTTTTTTTTAATGTTTTTTACTTTAAGTCATTAGAAATATAAAACAATATTAAGAAACACGTGATAAATTGTTATCTTTTTTTTTTTTTTTTGTAACTTTAAGGTCAATATGGGTAAAAAAAAATTCCATCAAATAAGTTTAATATTTTTGAAATTTTAGCTGTGTTATAGTAAGAAAGGACGGACAATGTTTAATACTAAACATTTTGGAATGTCTTTTCCATTTTTGGAAAATTTTTGGAAATATTCACTATAAAAATTTTTTCCATTTTTTTCACTAGCTCCTGCCTTTAAGGTCCTTTTGCGATTTCAGCCGTTAGGCAAACTCCAGTTACTTTTGAACACTCGTTTTATTAGGATTAGAACTGGACTCTTCGAATGTTCCATCGTTATCTATAGAAATTTAATTTGGAGTGAAACTTTTCTATAAAAAGAAAGAAAATTTTCTATAGAATAGAGTTTAAATCGAAAATTTTCTATAGAATGAACATTTTGATCGAAAATTTTCCATAAGAAATAATTTTTGATCAAAAGTTTTCTATAGAAAATAAATTTTTATTGAAATTTTTCTCTAGAAAAGAAATTTTGATTGAGAATTTTCTATAGAAAAGAGATTTTGATCGAAATTTTTCTATAGAAAGAAAATTTGTTTGGACATTTTCGAAAATTTTCTATAGAAAAAAATATGTTGTTGAAACATTTTTTATATAAAGAAAGAATTATTTGATAAAAAATTGTCTATAGAAAAAAATTTTAATAGAACATTTTTTTATAGAAAATAAATTTTGATTGAAAATTTTCTATAGAAAAGAGAATTTAATCGAAAATTTTCTATAGAAAAGAGATTTTGATTGAAAATTTTCTATAGAAAGAAAATTTATTTGAACATTTTCCAAGCTCTTCTATAGAAAGATAATTTTGAATAAAAATTTTCTATAGAAAGAAAATTTCGATCTAAAATTTTCTATATAAGAACAATCTGATCAAAAATTTTCTATAGATAAGAAATCTTGATAAAAAATTTTTTATATAAAAAAATCAAATCGAAAATTTTCTATAGAAAATCAATTTTTATTGAAAATTTTCTAAGAAAAAGAAAATTTATCGAAATTTCTATAGAAAGAAAATTTGTTTGAACATTTTTTATAGAAAAGAAATATTGATCGAAAATTTTCTATAGAAAGAACATTTCAATCGAAAATTTATTACAGAAGAAAAAATTGAATATTTTCTATAGGAAAAAAATTTTGATCTAAAATTTTCTATAGAAAGAACATTTGAATCGAAAATTTTCTATAGAAAAGTAATTTTGATTGAATATTTTCAATAGAAAAGAAATTTTGATCTAAAATTTTATATAGAAAGATAATTTTTAAAGAACATTTTCTATAGAAAGAATATTTTGTGTGAAAATTTTCTATAGAAAAGAAATCTTGATCGAAAATTTCCTATAGAAAGAATATTTAGATCAAAAATATTCAATAGAAAATAAAGTTTGATCAAAAATTTTCTATTGAAAGAAAATTTTCTATAGAAGATAATTGGTTTGAACATCTTTTATAGAAAAAAATTATATAAAATTTTGTTTAAAAAATATCTATAGAAATAAAAATTTGATTTGACATTTTTTATAGAATGAAAATTTTCTATAGAAAAGATATTTTGATCAAAAATATACTATAGAAAGGAAATTTTGATAGAAAGAACCCTTTTTTTGGAATATTTCTTAATAAAAAAGAATACTTTTGTACACAATTTTCTATAGAAAGTAAATGTCATCAAAATTGTTGTACAGAAAATTTTTTCATAGACATTTTATAGAAAAAAATTTAAACGAATTTTATTTCTATAAAAGAATTTTATTGAAAAATTTCTATTAAAAAAAAATTCAATAGAAATGAATTATTGATGAAAACTTTTCTAAAGAAAGAATTGACTGAAAATTTTATAAAAAAAAATACATTTTTATGAAAAATTTTTAATCATATAGAAAATTTTCTATAGAAAGAATCTTTTGATTGAAAATTTCCTATACAAAGGACATTTTTTTTAATTTCTATAAAATGAAAAAAATTTGCTCAAAACCTTGTATAGAATAAAATTTAATCAAAATTTTTCTTTAAAAATAATAATTTTTTGGGAAATTTTCTATGTAAACAAAAATTTTGTAAAATTTTTTTCTAAGAGAAATAGTTTTAGAAAATTTTTATAACCTACACCACTTTAGTGGGGAGGGTATATTGAATTTGTGCTTATGTTAGTAACGCATAGAATAAATGGTCATGTATACACCTTTAATTATACCAATCGACTCAGAATCAGTTTATGAGTCGATTAAGCCATGTCCGTCCGTACGTCTGTCTGTCCATGTAAACTTTGTAATCAAACTACAGGTTGTAATTTTAAAGATAAAAATTTGTTTTCAAATCGAAATTGAATTTAAATCGGATCTAAAAAATGAAATTTGTCTACAATTCTTGAAATTTGTTTTAAAATTTTGAAAAAAAAAAATCTGAAAATTTCAATATTTTATAAATGAAATTTATCAAAACTTGTCTAACAATTCTGAAAATTTGTTTTTAAAGTTTTCAAAAAAAAATTCTGAAAATTTAAATTAAAAGAAAATTTAAATTAAAGAAGAGTTATTGAAGATTTGGATCCCGAAGATATCTGAGATCTTCTAAAAACTGATTTCAACAAACAGACGGACAGACAGACAGACAGACAGACAGACATGGCTTAATCGACCCCCGCTCGCTATCTATAAGGATTCAGAATATATATACTTTATAGAACATTTTGGAAATTACAAACGGAATGACAAACTTATATATACCCTTCTCACGAAGGTGAAGGGCATAAAAATATTTTAAATATTAATTAAAAAAAATTTATCAAATGTGTTCAAAAACTACAAATTCCGTCGGTAGATTAGTTGGTGACGTTCTAATCAGTCAGTTCGGAGATCATACATAGCAATCGATCTCAACAGAGATTCTAGTAATGTAGAACACTACGCCTCGGCTAGTGGCGTAGGATCTGGATCTTTGGATCTGCTATAACATACATCCTCTTTTCAAACTAATAAACTACTATTATAATAGAATTTTTAAAGTTTTTTTTTTTTGAAAAATTAAATTTGTTAAGAAAATTTTCTAAAAATTTGAAAAAAAAATTTTCAAAATAATAAAATTAATGAAAAAAAAATTTTAAAATTTGAAATTTCCAAAAAATAAATTTAAATTAAAAAAAGTTTGAAAATCAAAATGTTGAATGTTCAAAAACTTCAAATGCCTTCTGTAGATTAGTTAGTGGTGTTGTACTTAGTTAGTCCGAAGATCTTACTTTCGATTCGATGCCACCAGAGATTCTAGTAAAGTAGAGCACTACGGCTTGGTTAGTGGCGTAGTAGGATATAGATCTTTGGATCTGTTATAACATACATCCTGTTTTCAACTAATAAACTACTATTATAGTAGAATTTTTATCGATTTTTCGAATGAAATTTGTTAAGAAAATTTTCTAAAAATTTTAAAAAAATAATAAAAAATAAAAAAATAATAAAAAAAAAAATAATAAAAATAAAAAAATAATAAAATTAATGAAAAAAACTTCTCAAAATTTGAAATTTACAAAAAAAAATTTAAATTAAAAAAAGTTTGAAAATCAAAATGTTGAATGTTCAAAACTTCAAAATGCCTTCTGTAGATTAGTTGGTGGTTTTGTAATCAGTTAGTCCGAAGATCTTACTTTCGATTCCAACAGATATGTTGGTTAAGGAGAACATTACCGGCTAGTGGCCCTAGGATCTGGATCTTTGGATGTGATGTTATATACATCATCCTTTAAAACTAATAACAAATTTTTAACGAAATTTGTTAAGAAAATTTTCTAAAAATTTAGTCCAAATAATAAAAAAAATTTCTGTTTCTTTTATGATCGAAACTAATAGTTTTGTAGTTTTAAAACCTCCTCCTTAGTTTTTGCGGAAGCATTAATGCTTAAAGAGCTACGTGACTAAAAGTATTATTTTTCAAATATTTAAATAAAGACATAATTAACTGTGAAAAGATAAAATACTAGATATTATTATTAATTTATACATATAATAAATTTTACATTAGTAATAAAATAAATTAAATTATTTAAATATTTTTTCTGGTAAAAATTTAGTTTCCGCCAAAACATGTGAGTTCTTAGACAAAGATTTATATATAAGAAATTTTTTTTAGATTTTTAAAATTTTTGCATAAAAAAGAAACTTGATTTATTTTTTCTTTAGCATAAATTTAAATTCATTCATTTAAAAAAATTATTTTAATCTTTGTGCAGAACATTAATTTTATTTAACTGGTATTTAAATATAGAAATAACAATATTTAGATAAAACTAAAATTTGTTTAGTGTGAATTTTTGGTGTTTGTTAAATATAATTTATGTTTTTTTTGTTTTATTGTTGTTATTTTTGCTATTTGCTTATAGTTTGTTTAGAATTTTTGTTTTTATTATGATTATTATTTTTGTTTTAGTTTCTTTTGATTAATCAAAACCAAAAAAAAAAAAAACTAAAAATTAACGGAACTAAATGTTATTTTAAAATTAATTATCACACTTGCTTCCTTCTTGTTGTTTTTATATTTTTCCTTAGATTTCTTTGAAAATATGCTAATTTATTTATTCTTAATAATAAAAAATATGTTTATAACACTATATATGACTTAATTTTTTTTTAAATCTTAAGCCTTGACTCCTGCTGT